AATCACTTCATCTCAATGCTGGATACTTCTGTACTTGTTATGTTGCTATCTGTCAGGCACCCTGAAAAGGCCCACATAACATATGGGAAAATATGCAAGGGTGTTTCTGCAGTATAAGCGATATACTGTATGTGCTTATCATTACACAGAGATTAGTTAAAAGTGGGAAATGTGTTGCATATGAAGATGAAACCGCTATAATAACACTGACTGCATGAGAAGCAAACCTATTAATGTTATGGATCAGTTTTTATCATCTCTGATGAATTTTTTTTTTATTCTGTGCCTTGCTTTGCTGATGTCTTTCTTCATTGATCATTCCTGTGTTTGTAGAATGATATTTGGGTGTTGGAGAAGCAAGGCAGGAAGCTTTGAAGTTCTCTCACACACACATTTTTGCTTCTTCTTTCTCTTTTTCACCTGTACAGTGTCTCTGTCTTGCCCTCATTTTCCTCCCCTTATTCTCCATTCCTTTCAGGGTTCATCTTTACATCACTAAGCTATGACTTTAACTAATTCTTCAGTAGCTGCATTGGGTGCCTTGATATCGCTTCTCCCCACCCCTTCTTTTTCACTGTGATCTATTACTGTTTTGCTCCGTCTGTCTGATTGTCATTTTGCATTTTAACTGGGTTTAAGGGCATCAGGTGCTGTAGTTCTCTGATATAATAATAAATAAATAAATAATTTATTATTTATACCCCGCCCATCTGGCTGAGTCTCCCCAGCCACTCATATGAAAGAATGTTTCATATAGCCTAGGCAGGCTTGATAATTAGCAAGCATTAAGGAGTTCCAGCCAAACTTCCCCTCCTTCTCCCCCCCCCCCCAATAAATGTCCTTCAAACCAAGCATTCAAAGAACTGAGTTGTTGTTGTTTTAAAAAAACCTTCTCATAATTGATCTATTTCAATGTTTAAAAATATTTTCTAGAATTTATCTGTTTCATCAAATACTAAATATTGTTCTATGCATGTCTAAAGGTAAAGGACCCCTGACAGTTAAATCCAGTCGCGATTGACTCTTGGGTTGCAGCACTCATCTCGCTTTATTGGCCAAGGGAGCCGACAGTTTTTCCGGGTCATGTGGCCAGCATGACTAAACCGCTTCTGGCGAAACCAGACAGTGCATAGAAATGCCATTTACCTTCCCGCCAGAGTGGTACCTATTTATCTACTTGCACTTTGATGTGCTTTCAAACTGCTAGGTTGGCAGGAGCAATGGGAGCTCACCCCTTCGTGGGGATTCAAACCGCCAACCTTCCAATTGGCAAGCCCTAGGCTCAGTGGTTTAGACCACAGTGCCACCCGCGTCCTTGCAAGTCTACTTCAATGTAAAGTCCACTATGTTCAAAGGGACTTACTCCCAGGTAAAGGGCATAGGAGTGCACCCCTGAATTCTGAAGTCATGACCTCATTCACCTTTGCAAATTCTAAATGAGCAAAATGGAACAAAGTTTGTTGGTTGTTAATATTTATAGTATACATTCCTACATATGAGGTACCCAAAGTGATGTAATTATTACTATGAATCTGGTTTCAAGGTTGGGGAATTGTATGTAGGGGAAAGCATTTTTCCCAAAGCTACTCATTTGACCTGATGGCTACTCAAGAATTTTGAACACAGAATTCCTATGTTCAATTTCAATGTTGGCCACAATAGAGACTATCTCACATGTGACATTCATTTTTTGTGCAAGTGAAAGCAAAAAAAATGCAGTGTCTATTTTTCCTTGTGTACAGGGTTTTCTTTTTAGATAAATGGCTTCAAGTTACAAGAAATGAGATTCTGACTAAAAATCAGGGCATATTTTCTGACTGTAACAGCTGTTCAACAGTGGAAGCAACTCCCTTGGAAGGTTTGGGGACTCTCCTTCACTGGAATCTTTTAAGCAGAGGCTGGATGGCCATCTGTCATGGATGCTTTAGCTGAGATCCCTGCATTGCAGGGGGTTGGACTAGATGACCCATGGGTCCCTCTCAACTCTATGATTCTATGAAAACATGTCTATATGTTGAAAAAATATTAATGGAATTTTCAAACATAATGTACCAATTTTATTAGGGGTGGGCATACCCCTTCAATCCCTCATGGAATCAATCCAGTAAAAATCAGATGGATAACTTTAAGTAACTACGATCCATAAATTACCGGTATATCCAGATTTTAGACATTCATAACCTAGGTGTCTTGTTTGGAGGAGCCTTGAGCTCTTAGATAATATGTGATAATAGAAGACACGTAGTGCAGCAACATTGCTGAAGCCAAGCAGGTGCAGGTCTGGATATGAGAATCTAGAACTTTGATGCAAAACAGACATTCAGTGGAGGGTAAACACTGTTGCCTCATCTGCTATGTCCTTCCCTGCCACCCCTATACCAGTATTCAAAGGAATACCTTTTACAGAAATAGTAGCAGTGGACATGGATGTCTATTGCTGTTTTGTATCAATTTTTCATTTTGATTGGGGTGGGGAACCTTTGGCCCTGTAGATGTTCCTGCACTACATCTCCCATCACCCTGACCACTGGTCATGCTGGCTGGGGCTGATGGGAGTTGTAGTCCAACAACAGCCAGAGAGGCTATATGTTCCCCACCCCTGATCTTGATAATCACTGTCTTGAATAGAGAGATGAATGTTCTTCATAAATAAAATAGGGTTGAATTTTTGCTGTGGTTTTCCCAAATGCATCCCTTTATTTCATGCTCCAAGCCCTCTGGCATTGGTATAATGTTTTATTTGTCTTTTGAAGCCTTGAAATTGTATTTGTCTTTAGAATCCTTCCACACGTTTTTTGCACCATGCTTGCTTCTAATGCAAGGTTAAGTATGAACACAGCCTGGCAAACAGTTTGTTGTTCTTGGTCTCAGTAGTATTTGGCTACTCTTGTGCAGCTATTTGCTTGGCTTAAGAAGCCAAAGAATTATAGAGTTCAGGAACCTCCTAGGGAAGTTTAATGTCTGTCATTGGTGGTAGTTGGTAGGTGTAACAGGTCCGCCCATTGTGTATCCATGAAATGTTTTTTGGCTCTGCAAGATTCAAACAAACATCTATACATCAGTGCAGAAATCTAACAATCCACATTATTCCTCTGCTATGTACTAATGCAATTCTAGAAACGAGGTTTTCTTTGCAGAGAGAAATAACAATGGCAGGCTAGGATTTTGATGGCAGCCTCATGAGCCATGTTGGAATGGGATGTTCTGTTTTCAAGAGGTTGTGTTTCTGTCCAAGAAGCACTTGGACAACCACTTTCCTCCCATGCCTCCTGTAGAGGAAATTTTCTCAGCCCTCCCTCCCATAGTTTAGAGGCTTCCACTGGGGCTAGCTGCATCTGCTTGGTTAATAGGGCCAGAAATAAATTTTACTGTCATCCTTCTCTTAGGGAGAACTACACAACAATAGAACTCTGAGTCACCCAGGGGAACTGAATGTTGAAAGATTCAAGACTAGCAATATAAAGTACTTCTGTTAGTTAAATTAAGGAATTCTCTCCCATAAGACGTATGGGACTTTGATGCCTTTAAAAGAGGATTTGACAACTTGATGGAGGGCACAGCTATCAATGGCTACCAGCTAGGATGACTATGTTCTACCTTTGCTCTTGGAGGCAGCAAGCCTCTGACTGCTGGTGGCTGAGGGACCACAACCAGGGAAGAATTTTGTCTTGGGTGTGGTGAGAGAGGGGAGCTGCTTGCAGCACCCATTCCGGCCACTGGATGATACTTAGGTCAGCTTTTGTCAACCTGGTGTCCCTCCAGATGTCTTCAACTACAACTCTCATCAGCCCTGGCCAGCACTTTGTTGCTCAAGTCGATTTTTTTTACATGCTTTCTAATGTATTGTGGTATTTTAGGCATTGTGACAGGGCTGCTTATTTGTGCTGATTGTTGTCTAGCAAGGTTTTGTTGTAATTGTTGATAGTGATTTTTCTGTTGGTATTTTGAGAGTTAAATTTATTGTGTAATATTATATACTAAATGGATTGTGGACTGTTACTTTATTTGATATAAGTTGTTTATTTTAAAGTCGTTTTTTAATTATGACTTATTTACTGTGCTTTTTTTCTGAGAGTACTTAAAGGTAGGCAGTACCGGGACATTTTTTTTTCAAATGTCCAAAGTGTGGCACTTACAGTAACAACTTCCTGGTGACTACCAGCACCTTTTTTTCCTTTTTCTAAAAAAACCTGCTTATTTGCATTGGATCAGATTGTAGGTTGTGGGATCTTTCTTGTATGATTTTTGTTTCTACAGCTTGTAAACTGCCTTGTGTGTATAGCTATATAGAAAGGTGGCACATAAATCAAAAGTGAAACGAAATGGGAAAATAGTGTGCTCAGGTCCTGCTGGATGGCTTCAGATTTGCCACTGTGAAAGCAGGATGCTGGGTCCTTGGCCTGATCCAGCAGTACTCTTCTTACATTCTGATGAAAAGAAACCATCTTTGTTTGCTTTGCTATGATGTCGTTCCTCCCCTGCCCCTTTCTGTATTGTGTCTAACAACAGCATTTGCTTTCCAGGATAACACTTTACAACACTTTAGAGAATTTGCCTGGCTTGTTTACTCTGGCTGCCAGGAGTCGGCATTGCTTTGCATTGAACAAGTAGCATTTGATCCCGTTTTATTTCCCTTCCTGCCATTTTGCTGCTGGCTCTGAAGGTGGCAGGGGGCTAGGATGGGTGGCAAGGGAAGTTGTTAGCTGAATCCTGCAAATTCATGTGAAATGGCAAGATTACAGCTGGCTCGTCAGCACTTGTGGTGGTGTGATCCTTAAGGGAAGGCAGGCTTTCTTTGGAGGCTTTAGCAGGTTGCGGTGCTTTCAGAAAGAGGCAACTTAACATTTGCAGGAGAAAAATGCACTGCACTCTTTCCAAACTATTTTTAAATCCTTTCCTCTTTTGTGCTTTCTTTATGCTAAGGTTTCAGGTGTGTCTCCCTGTGTGTGTTTAAATCACTAAGGTATACCCTCCATCTGTATCTATTTATGAAATGCAGGGTCGTAGCTCAGTTGGTTTTAGAGTAGTGCTGATAACGCCAAGGTTGCAGGTTCGATCCCCTTATGGGACAGCTGAATATTCCTGCATTGTAGGTGGTTGGACTAGATGGTCCTCAAAGTCCCTTCCAACTAAAATTCATTCTATGATTCTATGAAACATTCTACTGCATCTTGAAATTTTACCTAAATCATGAACATATTTGACAATTGTACCTCCTAAACTGGTGTAGTACTGTCTGTCTTAACTGAGCTGGCCTTTACAACTTTGCTATCGTATACTGAATATGAGTCATTCTTAGCACCAAAAGACATGCTGGCTTTTGGCACCAATGTGACTGTCATCAATACATGTGGACTGTTCCATTAAAGAACTGAAATATATTTTGGGTCTGAGTGTCTGTAGACATTAAGTCACCCATAAAACACATTTTTTTCAGAAAAAGTAGATATATTGATACAGATTTATGTAAAAGCATTCATACAAAGGCTGGATATCTTCTCCAATAACCTTAAATTATGCTGCCAATTACAGCTATGTAAAATGTATACTAGGAAATGTTCAGATGTAATTATTGTTATGTTCATTGATCCTTAATAAACATTTATAGTTGTTTAAAATCGGATGGGTGCTATGCAGTGGCTGTCTGGACATCAACTAACTTGCCAGTTAATATTCTGTTAGTATTGAATTAACACTTATCACCCTCTGTTTGAGCAACTTGATGCAAATCTTTATTAAAGTGTGATCACAGGGCAAAGTGTTATGCAAAATAATGTATATACTTGGAATTTTCACATCTGGCTGTTGATTTCATCCACCCCAGTTTAAAGAAAAAAACCTATCTTATTGCACAAGCTGCCAAGGAATTAATAAAAGCTTTGGAGAAACTCAGTGGTGTCCTCCTCTACCACAACTGTATGCACAAGTGAGGGCTGAATAAGCTCTGTGCATGGACTGAGACTGGTTTTCCATGCAGATTCTCTGGATGTTTTTTTTTTTTACTGAGGACAGATGGTCATGTTTCTGCCTTTGGTCAGTAGCATGGAGAGTTAGTGTGTTATATTGGATATAAACTTGGGTTGAACATACTGGAGCTTACTGGGTGAATTTGGGCAAGTCACTATCTCTTGCCAGATTGTTGTGCAGGTGTCTCTTCCTGTGATATTTTCACACCTTTTCATGATTAGAGATCAGATTTGCATCCAGCAATGCTGAAGAGAGCAAATAGAGACTTGTTTGCCAGTGGGGACAACCAGGAAAGGAGGCTGTGAATGTTTTAGCAAAGCAGTGATCTGTGTTCTCAGTTTATGGATCAGACCTACATTCGGTTTGAAGAACTCTGTAAATGTCTGACTTTTCCCCCAAGAAACCATTTGAAACCCTACTGCCAAATAGTTTTCTTATCTTTAGGTTCCAATCTTCATTCTTCTGCTCTCAAAATACACTTGTGTGAATAGAGCCGACAAAAGGTGAGAGAACAACAGCCCTGGAGACTGGAGGCTTTTATTTAGTTACAGAACAAGAAATACAGAGCAAGTGAAATGTCTCTTCGTATTCTGTTCATCGTTAAAAATATTGAGAGCAAGTTTTCAAACTAGCCTATGAAACTTAAATCAAGGCACAGAGCAAAATAATCACAATTCATAAAAATAGATATTATAGGCCTGGCATTTATGTATATTTGGTTGAATGAGCTGCCTTTTAAAAGACAGAAAACAGAATAGCAGCTATCATAGGAAGGTAGGAGGCTGCCCATTGGTTGAGCTGGCTGGTCACAGCTCTCTTAGGGTTTCAGATAGCAAATATTAGCCCTATCTGGAGATACAAGGGATTGTACCTGGGACCTCCTACATGCAGAACAGATGCTCTACCATTGAACTATGACCCTTGATCAGAAAAAGGGTTAAGGACTCGGCTTAAACTCCCCAGAGACAAAGTAGCAAAGGAAAAATATGCATCAAGTGAGATATAGAGGCAAACTGAAGGGTTTTCCTCCAAGCCAGTAGAAGTATCCATTGACCTAGGAAACATCAGGAACAAGCTGCATTGAGTCTCGTTTACCATAAAAAGGGCAGGGAGTAAATGTTGATAAATGCATACATGCATGTCCTGCAGCTCCTGGTGGCAACAGATACTCCTCTGCATGCCTGTGAGAACATTCAGAACTTTTAAGTCTGAAATCTGCAGCAGCAGCCAAATTTATTCATTTATTCTATTTATATCCAGTGCTTTTTTCTTTTAAAAAAATGTTTAGGGGTACTCTCATTTCCCTACTCATATTGAAATGCTGCCCTCAATGAGGCCAAACTTAGATTCACAAAATGTTTAGGGGTATGTGTACCCCTGCATATCCCTAGAAAAAAAGCACTGTTTATACCCCAGGGAGTTTAAGGTGGTATACATCTTATTCCACTTCCTGGTTTGTTTGTTTGTTTGTTTGTTTGTTTGTTTGTTTGTTTTCTAAATCAACAACCCTGTGAGATAGGTCATATTGAGAAGCAATGACTGTCCCATGGTCACCAAGTGAATGCTTTTCTTGGAGAACCATCAAATCTAGATGCTGCTAGTGACAACTTAATTCAGGCCTGATCCAAATCACACCTAAATTATTATTATTTTCTAGTTGGGCCCAGTCTGAACCAGGTGCATAAAAGTTCACACACCATTGCACTAGGCCACTGCTCTATATAATATGTAGAACTGTTATTCACATGCTTTCTTCAAACTGCATGGAGAGTTTCCACACCAACACAACACAATCCTCAGCCTCATCTGGCATCTAATATTGATTGCAAACCTTGTCACTTCTGCAAAGAGCATGTGTACAGTACATTGCAGTCAGGACTAAATGAAGGTTCAAAAGAGCTGTATATTTTACCATTGCACTCCAAATTGCATTTATATGTTTTGAGTACTCAGCATGCTCCTCCTTCAAAGCAATGGTGGAAATGTGTTAGGTAGTTTGAAGTGCTTCTGTAAACCAAAACACACCATTGTTTCCCATCCGCTTCTTTTTAGCGTTGCCTCTCATTTTCCCTCACCTGTGAAAGCAAAGGGCAATGTTAGCGAAATGATAATCTTGCCTAGGAATAATTGATATTAGGTAGTGCATTCAGCGCAAATTTGATGGAGCTCCATAGCAGCAGTTATTCCAGATTAATTGCTCTGGAGGAAAAGGGCTGTGAGATTCTATGTATAGCCTCCTGGGTCAACTTCATCCTCTAGATGCAGCTGGGCCTGACTTTTTGAGAGCTTTGTTATTCTTTTACATAAAAGAACTGAATGACTAATGTAGCCTGCAAGGGCTGTCAGTCCCCCCTCCTGCTAGCAGATACCCCACTGTTATCGACAGCTGCAACTAGGGGCATGCCAGGTGGCAAACTGTACTGTGTTTCTGTCTGCCCTACATCTTCACCCTCCTTCCTCTCACCTCTGTATCACCTGGTTTTTCTAAGGACATTTAGGCAAGCACAATGGAAGGTTGCTAAAAACAGATCAGAATTCTCGTACCGTTTAGGCAGCGAATACACCGTATGGAGATCTGCTGTTGGCTAGGGGGCAGGCAGCAGCAAGTTTCCAGGAAAGATTAAAATGTCTAGTATAGCAATGGGCAAGAAAGGGGGTAGATAGCACACAACTCTAATGCCAAAAGGAGCTAGCGGGAGCCAGAACTGGAGAATAAATGCATAATGTAACAGCTGCATTCCTATAACAAACAGAAAGTACAGTTCATAGCCCTGACCTCTCGCTCCTTAAGCTGGCAGGGGGCTGCGGATATTTTGAGTCTGCTCTGCATCGAGCATCTAGGTACATATGGCGGGGAGGACTAAAAAGACTTTCACTTTATGTTCTCACTATTGGCAATGTCAGAGAGAAGCTTGTAGCCTGGAGATAAACAGTGCAGAAAACTTAAGAGGAGTTCTTGAACTCTCTTTAAAAAGCAGGGAGGGAAAGAATAAGGAGGGAAATAGTTATTCACACATTTTTGGGACTGTCCTCGCCATTGCACAAAATAGGTAGTTTTAAAAAGGGTAGTATACTGTAAACTTTTGAACCATACAGAGGTTCCTCTGTAGAGAAAGCAGAAGATGGCATGTCATGAATTCAGATTGCTTGAACCAGGGATGAGAAACCTGTAGCCCTCCAGATGTTGTTGGACATAGTATATGGACAGCAAGTGGAACTGAAAGTTGTTTTTTTAAAGTGGGCTCATACCACATCACTTGTGTGGATGCCTCTCACTGATAAGTTGTTTCCAGTCAGGTTTCATATCCTGGAAAAGGAAATTTTACAGACCTGGACAGATGTGTTTCCCAATACAAGCATGGTTAAAAATAATAATAAAAAGAACTTGGCTAATTAAAATATACTACAGTATAGTAACAATTGTAGTGGATTTTTGTGTGGATGTGTTTGTGCCTCAGGGAGTGTTTGGATGGATGGAGAGTATTACAGGCTCTATATGCAGAAGACTTATTTGATACCAGTATCTGTCTTTTTCATCCCATGCAGGTGTTTTATAGAAGACAAAAGCTCCAAGGTGGCCTGGTTAAATCGTTCCGGCATCATTTTTGCTGGACAAGACAAGTGGTCTCTGGACCCCCGAGTAGAGCTCCAACAACTTTCTCTTCTGGAATACAGCCTCCGGATTCAGAAAGTGGATGTCTATGATGAGGGATCATACACATGCTCAGTGCAAACACTGCATCATCCCAAGACTTCACAGGTTTATTTGATCGTTCAAGGTAAGAAATCATGGCGGGCTGTCAGTGGCGGACCTACATTTTGGGGGCCCTGGAGCTTGAAATGATATGGGAGCCCCTTTGTAACCCACAATGAGGTCTGGGTAACCACTGTTATCTTCTTCAATGGGGGTTTTCTATGGCAGATCACTACATTTAAAAAAACAGCAACTCGGATTTTGACTAAAATTGCTGTACTGGATTATTTCACATGCCCAAGTCACTGGTGTGAATTAAAAATTCATTTGCACCATAGTTTTTAGAAACTGATATATGAAAGCTAGGAGCTAAATGGCACCTTAAACCTAGGTTATGGGCACAACAATGGAATGTCTAGGCACGCTTTTTATAACAAGAATACAAAGCTGAAAATGAATGAATTGCAGCTAAAATATTATGTTCATTTTTCACATGGTCTACTCCTTCCCCTGCCCATACCCTAATATTCTTAAGAGGGTCTCTTCTCCAGTCTTCAGTGAGTAGCTGGAAGTGGGCAGGCAGAAAAAGTTCCTCCTTTCCTTCCAATCTGTAGTTTTAACCTGAAATCTTAGGCGTAGCACCATACCCAGAACTCAGAAACTGCTTTCACTAATGAAATTCCCTGTTGCAAAATGTGCTTAGAACAATAGAGGTTTCGAACACTGACCAGTCTTTAGTCATTCTTAATATCTGATTAAGCAAGGGTTCCAAGGGCACCACAGTGCCTGAAGTCTTCAGCCCTTGCCCCGCCCAATTTTTTAAATGAAGTCTATTGAGGGACATTTAGCAGGTCATAGAATTGCAGAGTTGGAAGGGACCATGAGGGTCATCTAGTCGAGCTACATGCAATGCAGGGATATTTTACCCAATGTTAAGGTTAAGAGTCTCATGTTCTACCCATGGGGATGTTTCCAGATTCAAACTGCTGGCTTCTCCAGCCAAAAGGATTAGGCAGTAGGCAATTTTAATTCATTAGTTCACATCATGAATGGAGAAAGGCTTATGACTTGATAAATGCTATCAACTGAACGATTTTGTTTCTGTTTGCACTTCTGGGAAAACTTGGCTGCTAATTCACAGTTGCCCTTTCACAAAACCAAGCAAACGTGTGATAGTTGCAGCTAACATGGCTGATAACCACAGTGGCTGGCCACTGTGAGATCCAGTTGTTGTACTAGATGAGGTTCTGGCCTGATCCAGTCGGTTCTTCTGATGTTTTTATGGGATAACATAAGAATTAGGCCTTAGTCAAACTGGTGTTTTGTGCTCAAAGCTTCCCGCATTTTTCTTGACTGCCTAGCGCTCCCAGTTCTCTGCTTTTGCCAGATTTATTCACAACTTTATTAAAAGGAAACAATAATTGGCAGCACAAGATATGCTGGGACTGAAGTGCCATAAAAGGGAGATGAATTTGAAACGAGAGAGTGAAAACGAGCGCTTTTCAGCAGGCTTTCAGTCGCACCTCAGCTGCTGAAGCTCTGGCCTACAGAAGCTTTTCACAATCAAAGTTCCCTTTGAACACATGTGAATAATGCCTTTTGTGAAGGTTGCTCTACTAATTGCAGAGATAAAATTACCATCAGCGGAAAATACGATTTTTTCCCCCTTCCCTGCATGAAGCGTTAGCCAGCCATCTCTATTTGGAGACCTTATGCCCTTGACTCTCTGCAAATCCAACAGGATGCTTAAAGATTACAAATTTTTATATGCTCTTTCTCCTGATTCTGTTTAAAAGTATATTTTGTCAACCTACAAGCCACACAAGATACATATGTGCATATATGACATACATAGGACCATTTCGTTGAGAGACAGGTCAGGACATAAATTTAGTAATGAAAAATAAAAATAAATTATTGACTTTTTTCTCAAGTAGGTACTGGCATTAACAAAGTCATGTAAAAACTAGGCAAAGCACATACAAGATTGAAAGCAAATGTCTTAGTCCCTATATTGATTATGAAAACACATTTTTACAGCCACCAAAATCACAGCTGTTATTGCTGGCTATGTCTATGATCACTTGCATCACACTTTTGCTTCTCTGTGTGAAATACACACACACACACACACACACACACACACACACACACACACCTGGGGATGATCAGTACTGTTCTATGGAGGTACACACACATACCACACTGCTATGAATTTTAAAGAA